AACCTGCTCCTAGCACCTGATCCTAGCACCTGCTCCTTGCTTCCTGCTCCTAGCACCTGTTCCTTGCTTCCTGCTCCTGCTACCTCTGCCCAAACAAATGTGAAATTAAAAAGCACACAAAACGGCAGACGCCACGCTCAAGCGGGCTCTCCCGCGCTCATATGTCCTTTTGGGATAGCAAGTCCCTGTTAACACCCCCTACCCCATTTCCTGTTACCACCCCTAACTGCCCCTGGGTCAGTGGCCCAACGAATGACCTTCCGGTCCAACGAACGTATATAGCTCATAAAAGATACTATCTGGGCGTCAAATGAGATGCAAGGCGATAATCTGACGACTTTGCGGGGGAAATCACATGTTAATCCTGTCACTCAGCAGTCAATAATTTCGTCAATATTCTGAATATATACATATATAGACAGGAAGAAGGGAGAAAGGATATAGCAGGGGTGAAGCCACCCGCCCCCCAAACCAGCAATCCCTGTCAATCATTTAACTAAATATTTAAGCACTTTGCCCCTTTGGCAAATTCAATTTTGTGTGCAGGCGGTCACCTGCCTTCTCACTCTCTCACCTGTCTGTATAAAACCTCCCCTCCTCCCCACCTTTCACCCTGCTCCTCCCCCACTCCCCTTACCTTCCCTTCTCTGTCATTGCTATAAACAAACCGCAAATGCGGTACACACGCGCGTCAGATTGGAGTCCGGCTGCCCAGCTACCTCGTGCTACTCCTTCTCCTCCCTCATCAGCAAAGTTATCCCAACAGTCGTAAACATGTACACACCCCAATACACACACCCACACGCACACACACCACGCACACCCTTACACACAACCAGTCAATGTCATATTTGCGAAAGTGCAATAAATTTCATATGAAGTTCGTAATCGATTTTGACTTATTGAAACATTATGATTGAAAGACATTTATGAGTGCACGAAAAGGTCTCCGGAGGGTCAATGCCAAACAGAAACGCTGACAGCCCAGGCCAAGGATGGGGGAGGTCTGACCCCCCTCTGGGTTGAGTTGGGGAAATCACACAATCAGCAGTTATTAGGGCTACCTCGGAAGTCACGAGACAGGAGGCTATACATATAACACGACACAAAAAAATAAAAAGAGGAAAAGGAAAAGCAAAAGGGGGAAACGCAATGTAGCCATTTGTGGGGCAACTGCTAACCGGATATGCTGCTGGTGGTTGCCTGTTCCCGAGACATGACTGTAAGTGACTAAGCTCGCAGGATATACGAGGATGTTGAACGGAAATCGAAAAGCGTGGCTGCAGAGAGAGAGAGAGAGTCAGAGAGCGAGGAAAGCGGACGTTCTCAAGAATATTGCCAACAAATCTTGCCAAGACAAAAAGCAAGCAGCAGTCAGGAAGGCAGCAGGCCAGGACGAAGGACGAAAGGCAATCATCGGGGAATCAAATTGGGATGTAAACACGTAGATAATGTGCTCATACGTTTCAATATACGCACACAGTTCGCGGGTGAGGATGGAGGAGGAGGAGGATGGATGCCTACCAGCCAGGACCCAGGACCCAGGACTCACGACCCATCTAAGTGGGTTCGATTGGAAGTGTGACCCAGTCTCGGTCTCACACCCACACCCACACGCTCGTGTCCTTCCTCCTTATTATATTTCCTTCGGCATGCTGTCAAGGCTTCCTTGGAGCTGGGGGAAGGGCATTGCGTGTTTCTGGATTGGATTGGCAGCTTGGCTTCCGCTCCTCTGTGTGTCCTGTGTGCTGTTTGTCTTACTCGCTGCGTGCTGTGTGCTCTGTGTTTGTGGTTCCTAAAAATTGGACACTCAAATGCCGAACGCATGACCCTTGTTTACAACGCCAGCAGCCCCCAACTGACATTTTTATTCGCTGTCAATTGATACAACAAGCTGTTGTGTCGGCATAGGTTTTTTTTGGCTTTTGGTTTTGTCAAGTCCAAGGATTCATGCTGGAGCTGGGTCTCCCATTAATTGCCTCAATTGGCCAAACGACGACGACGATTTAATTTCCAATGAAATTATTATATTGAAATATGCATAAATTGTTGCCCCGTCGCTGTGGCAATTATTTATTTATATTCAACATATGCAAATAAACACACATTTTCGCCTGTAAATTCGTTTGGCAAATAAGCGTTGACAGGACCCAACGACAGCAGCGGCAAAAACACAACACAAAACCGAGCAGCCAGCCAGGACAATGGCCATGGCATGGCAAAAGCAATTTATTTTCCACATAAAACAACTTTGAGCTTGTTTGTACCTAAGAGTCTATTAATTGTTACGACCGTACAAAGTCTGTAACTAAATCGTAGCTTCCTCTGACTCCTAATTTGGCAAGGACATTGCGTTTTGCTTATATCCTTTGCATATGCGAAGGAGTTTTAGTTTTCTGTGGAGTTTAGTTTTCTATCTGACACCCTTTCAAGTCAATGCAGGAAAAAGACCAATCCAATATTATATCTATAAAAATCATAATCAAAATCAAATCATATGGAACATGTCTTAAATTTTAATATATTCCATAAGGGTATAGCTCTTACAAGGTAATATAACTTTTGTAATTAAGAATACAGATTTATAAACCTAATCAAAACTAATATAAGAAAGGTTTCCGAATTAAAATTAATGCTTTTTTGGATTAGTTATCATATAAACTGGATATCCCTTTTCAACTGAGACCCAACCCAGTTAGACAGACATTGATCCTGGCAAATGCCAATACCCTCTCGACAAGGGTATAAGGAGTTTAACAAGGCGAATGCAGTTAATAAGGTGAATATGGGTGCAAATTCCAAAAGGAAGACGAGGCCTTAACGATAAACAGTTGGCCATAAAGTGTGAACTGGGGATAAATGAACGAACCAACGAACGAACGATTGTGGGCTGAGAGCACGCACTGGCCAAATCCCTGAACGTATAATTTACAAAGTAAATTTTAATTAAAAATCCTCATGCAATCCTCTCACTCTCACTCTCTCCCTCTCTCTCTCTCGCTCAGCTATTTTAATTGAAGCTAAATGACGTCACAGCATATTTTTCCCCACTGTCGGTTAGAGTCGAGAGGCGGTAATTAAGCGTGCCAGCGAACTTGACTCGAGGAATCGGAGATAACGCGCCCAGGACATGCCGAAAAGAGTTCATAAAAAAAAAATAGAAGAAAGAAACGCACCGAAGGACGAGGACGAGGACGAGGACGATGGCCTGGCACGCTTTTGTGCAAATTCTTGAGAAACAAATTAAACGCTTTTCAAGACGTTGACGTTGTCTTCTACTCCTCCGACATCCATGTCATTAAGATACCCAAAGCCATCTTCAACCATCTCACAAATGATGCTGGTGTACTTACTGTTCCAGGGACCAATTTAAGATGATGACGAAAGAGTTCCAGCAGCTGCTGCAGTTCGCAGTTCACAGTTCAGAGTTCAGACTATGTCCCTCTGGTCATCCTGCCAAAAATTTGCCATAACATTGGACACAATTATGTGTTATCTATGCCCCCCTCTGGGGCTTGTTACCCCGCTGCTTATCACCTACCCCAAGCTTTCTGCTGTCCAGAAAGAAAAGTCCCACGAGCTGCTCAGTGGAGCGTGCAAGTCCTGCGTCTGATAAGAAACTTTTGGGTTTCAGAGGAGGGGCAAAGGTTCGCCTGGCAAATTATTTTGCCATTTAACGAGGTTACGAAAATTATAATGCATTGCATAAGCCGATTAGCAGTATTACAAGTAACTAACTAAATAAACTAACTAATGAGTCGCTGTTTTATGCTTTTCAATTAAGTGATAAGGACAATTCGTGGCAAGTCAACCGCAAAAAGGGAATTATTATTGGCAGAACGAAGCGGAAAAGCGTAACTCGGGGCGTATACTTGATATGGCATTAAGTATACGACGCGGTGGCAAGCAAATGCAGATGCGAACTGCGAAATGTTTGTTGCAAGAACGAGAGGGGGCCAAAAGCGAGTGCAACGCCTGTCGACTGTTTATGGGACTGGCGGCTGCTTTTGTTTAAACTTGTGTGTGCGCAAAACTTTAACAACAACAATAATAACAACAACAGCAAGCGGGCCAGGGCAGCAATGCCAAAATGCCATCATTACCAAGCGACAAAAGTTTGTCCTTTTGCCAGTGGCAGAGGCAACCGCCCTCGCGCCTTGTGCCTCCTGTCAGCCGCAGTAACAACGATGCCTGCAAAAGTGCTCCTTGACTCTCCTTGGGCCGTGTAGGCAAATGAAGTGAACGGCTCGGCTCGGCTCGGCGTTCTGCTGCCACAGCTAAAAAAAAGAAGAAGTGAAATACGTAATATAAATGGGGGGTAGAGGAAGGTTGGCCAAGGAAAACAAACGCAGGAGAACAAACAAACAAAAGGGCAGAGCCAGGGACCCGCAGTGGAAAAGTTTTACCACCCACCAAAAGCCAAGAAGACTGTGACTCTCCTTCCCTCGCTCTCTCTCTGTGTGCCGCTGACAATAGAAATGCGTTCGGCAAAAGTTGACTTTTATTTTATTTCATTTCATACCATTTTATTTCATTCCATTTTCTGTTTTGTGTACTATTTTCTCTGCACGAGTTTTTCATTTGATTTCCGCTTGCCACACTTTTTTTGTGACCTCCACCGCCCGCGTCACAAACAGAAGCGGAACTGGAAGCAGGAGCAGCAGGAGCTCCTGGCTGGGTCAGCGTATGTTTGCTCACAAAGGGATTAAGTTGGGGTCTAGCCTCCCCCGATTGTAGTGAGTAGTTTTCGGTCTGAAAGGCTTGAAAATGGCTTCATTTGCATCCTCCAGTAATGATATGGCACCCTGATATGGTGGACCCACAGCCCAGAACCCAGATATGCTGCACTGGAAAAGATTTCTAACTTCAAAAAAAACACAAGAGCTTAAGTTGGTAAAGAAATAATTATAACTTGTTTTATAAGTACAATAATAAGGAAATTATGTAGAATTAGTAAATATAAATCCATTGCTATTACCGTCGAGCTTCGAATCTTTTTCTTACTCATTTAATTCGTGTCTGGCCCATTCGTTCTGGCCCAAAAACGATTCAACGGCATTCATAACAGCACGATTTGGTATTAGCTGATCCTCGGTGAGTTCGGTGCGTGTGACAGGATCAAAGAAACCGCATTTGGTGAAATGCTTCACAATCGCTGTGCGCTCGTAGGTGATGCCACAGGGAGTGATAACCGGATTCTTGAAAATCTCAAAGCTTATGGGGCACAGCAGAAAGTCGGGAATGTCACGGCTCTGAAAAGGTTCAATGGGTTTATTAATCGTTAGTCAATTATTAGAAGTCACTGCAGTTACTCTATGCACATTAGCTTAGGTTCTCGTTACTCAATTTATTCGTTAATCCAGGTCACTCTTGCTACTTACCTTACGACGTTCAAAGAGCTTGTCAAATATTTTGAGTAGTTCCTTGCTCTGATCCCACTGCAACAAAAACAAAAAATAAATCATTTATTAATCCATATTTATCTATATTTTTATAAGACAATATAAAAAAAAATCAATCAATCAATCAATCAAAATTTCAAATAAAAATATTGTTAATATCGGTACAAAAATGGTAATGGGCCTTCAGTCAGAAGCTTAAAAGAAAGTGATGGAGTCATTTCCGACCCTATAAATCATATATATTCTTGATCAGCATCTACAGGCGAATCTTTTAAGCCATCTCCGGCCGAAAAAAATTTTTCTCCGAAATTTCCCATTTTTTTAAAAAAAGGAAAGGGGTTACATCATGAAAATTTGCGAAAATCGGCCAAAAATTCACATTTTAAATGGAGTATGCAGTTTTGTTAACCTGCTAAAAAATTGCATACGGCCGCTTTCCGAATTGAAATTAATGCATTTTTGGCCTAGTTATGAGATTTTTAAATTTTGATTTGTCGAAAAATTTCAAATAAAAATATTGTTAATATCGGTACAAAAATGGTAATGGACCTTTATTCAGAAGCTTAAAAGAAAGTGAAGGAGTCATTTCCGACCCTATAAATCATATATATTCTTGATCAGCATCTACAGGCAAATCTTTTAAGCCATCTCCGGGCGAAAAAAAATTTTGTCCGAAATTTCCCATTTTTTTAAAAAAAGGAAAGGGGTTACATCATGAAAATTTGCGAAAATCGGCAAAAAATTCACATTTTAAATGGAGTATGCAGTTTTGTTAACCTGCTAAAAAATTGCATACGCCCGCTTTCCGAATTGAAATTAATGCATTTTGGCCTAGTTATGAGATTTTTAAATTTTGATTTGTCGAAAAATTTCAAATAAAAATATTGTTAATATCGGTACAAAAATGGTAATGGACCTTTATTCAGAAGCTTAAAAGAAAGTGAAGGAGTCATTTCCGACCCTATAAATCATATATATTCTTGATCAGCATCTACAGGCGAATCTTTTAAGCCATGTCCGGGCGAAAAAAATTTTTGTCCGAAATTTCCCATTTTTTTAAAAAAAGGAAAGGGGTTACATCATGAAAATTTGCGAAAATCGGCAAAAAATTCACATTTTAAATGGAGTATGCAGTTTTGTTAACCTGCTAAAAAATTGCATACGCCCGCTTTCCGAATTGAAATTAATGCATTTTTGGCCTAGTTATGAGATTTTTAAATTTTGATTTGTCGAAAAATTTCAAATAAAAATATTGTTAATATCGGTACAAAAATGGTAATGGACCTTTATTCAGAAGCTTAAAAGAAAGTGAAGGAGTCATTTCCGACCCTATAAATCATATATATTCTTGATCAGCATCTACAGGCGAATCTTTTAAGCCATGTCCGGGCGAAAAAAATTTTGTCCGAAATTTCCCATTTTTAAAAAAAAAGGAAAGGGGTTACATCATGAAAATTTGCGAAAATCGGCCAAAAATTCACATTTTAAATGGAGTATGCAGTTTTGTTAACCTGCTAAAAAATTGCATACGACCGCTTTCCGAATTGAAATTAATGCATTTTTGGCCTAGTTATGAGATTTTTAAATTTTGATTTGTCGAAAAATTTTAAATAAAAATATTGTTAATATCGGTACAAAAATGGTAATGGACCTTTATTCAGAAGCTTAAAAGAAAGTGAAGGAGTCATTTCCGACCCTATAAATCATATATATTCTTGATCAGCATCTACAGGCGAATCTTTTAAGCCATCTCCGGCCGAAAAAAATTTTTCTCCGAAATTTCCCATTTTTTAAAAAAAAGGAAAGGGGTACCATCATAAAAATTTGCGAAAATCGGCCAAAAATTCACATTTTAAATTGAGTATGCAGTTTTGTTAACCTGCTAAAAAATTGCATACGGCCGCTTTCCGAATTGAAATTAATGCATTTTTGGCCTAGTTATGAGATTTTTAAATTTTGATTTGTCGAAAAATTTCAAATAAAAATATTGTTAATATCGGTACAAAAATGGTAATGGACCTTTATTCAGAAGCTTAAAAGAAAGTGAAGGAGTCATTTCCGACCCTATAAATCATATATATTCTTGATCAGCATCTACAAGCGAGTCTTTTAAGCCATCTCCGGGGGAAAAAATTTTTCTCCGAAATTTCCCATTTTTAAAAAAAAAGGAAAGGGGTTCATCATGAAAATTTGCGAAAATCGGCCAAAAATTCACATTTAAATTGAGTATGCAGTTTTGTTAACCTGCTAAAAAATTGCATACGGCCGCTTTCCGAATTGAAATTAATGCGTTTTTGGCCTAGTTATGAGATTTTTAAATTTTGATCTGTCGAAAAATTTCATATAATAATATCGTTAATATCGGTACAAAATTGGGAATGGGCCTTCAGTCAGAAGCTTAAAAGAAAGTGAAGGAGTCATTTCCGACCCTATAAATCATATATGTTCTTGATCAGCATCTACAGGCGAATCTTTTAAGCCATCTCCGGCCGAAAAAAATTTTTCTCCGAAATTTCCCATTTTTTAAAAAAAAGGAAAGGGGTACGTACCATCATAAAAATTTGCGAAAATCGGCCAAAAATTCACATTTTAAATAGAGTATGCAGTTTTGTTAACCTGCTAAAAAATTGCATACGGCCGCTTTCCGAATTGAAATTAATGCGTTTTTGGCCTAGTTATGAGATTTTTAAATTTTGATTTGTCGAAAATTTTCATATAATAATATCGTTTATATCGGTACAAAAATGGTAATGGGCCTTCAGTCAGAAGCTTAAAAGAAAGTGAAGGAGTCATTTCCGACCCTATAAATCATATATATTCTTGATCAGCATCTACAGGCGAATCTTTTAAGCCATCTCCGGCCGAAAAAAATTTTTCTAAGAAATTTCCCATTTTTTTAAAAAAAGGAAAGGGGTTACATCATAAAAATTTGCGAAAATCGGCCAAAAATTCACATTTTAAATTGAGTATGCAGTTTTGTTAACCTGCTAAAAAATTGCATACGGCCGCTTTCCGAATTGAAATTAATGCATTTTTGGCCTAGTTATGAGATTTTTAAATTTGGATTTGTCGAAAAATTTCAAATAAAAATATTGTTAATATCGGTACAAAATGGTAATGGACCTTTATTCAGAAGCTTAAAAGAAAGTGAAGGAGTCATTCCGACCCTATAAATCATATATATTCTTGATCAGCATCTACAGGCGAATCTTTTAAGCCATCTCCGGCCGAAAAAATTTTTTTCTCCGAAATTTCCCATTTTTAAAAAAAAGGAAAGGGGTTACATCATGAAAATTTGCGAAAATCGGCCAAAAATTCACATTTTAAATGGAGTATGCAGTTTGTTAACCTGCTAAAAATTGCATACGCCCGCTTTCCGAATTGAAATTAATGCGTTTTTGGCCTAGTTATGAGATTTTTAAATTTGATCTGTCGAAAAATTTCATATAATAATATCGTTAATATCGGTACAAAATTGGGAATGGGCCTTCAGTCAGAAGCTTAAAAGAAAGTGAAGGAGTCATTTCCGACCCTATAAATCATATATGTTCTTGATCAGCATCTACAGGCGAATCTTTTAAGCCATCTCCGGCCGAAAAAAATTTTCTCCGAAATTTCCCATTTTTTAAAAAAAAGAAAGGGGTACGTACCATCATAAAAATTTGCGAAAATCGGCCAAAAATTCACATTTTAAATAGAGTATGCAGTTTTGTTAACCTGCTAAAAATTGCATACGGCCGCTTTCCGAATTGAAATTAATGCGTTTTGGCCTAGTTATGAGATTTTTAAATTTTGATTTGTCGAAAATTTTCATATAATAATATCGTTTATATCGGTACAAAAATGGTAATGGGCCTTCAGTCAGAAGCTTAAAAGAAAGTGAAGGAGTCATTTCCGACCCTATAAATCATATATATTCTTGATCAGCATCTACAGGCGAATCTTTTAAGCCATCTCCGGCCGAAAAAAATTTTTCTAAGAAATTTCCCATTTTTTTAAAAAAAAGGAAAGGGGTTACATCATAAAAATTTGCGAAAATCGGCCAAAAATTCACATTTAAATTGAGTATGCAGTTTTGTTAACCTGCTAAAAAATTGCATACGGCCGCTTTCCGAATTGAAATTAATGCATTTTTGGCCTAGTTATGAGATTTTAAATTTGGATTTGTCGAAAAATTTCAAATAAAAATATTGTTAATATCGGTACAAAAATGGTAATGGACCTTTATTCAGAAGCTAAAAGAAAGTGAAGGAGTCATTTCCGACCCTATAAATCATATATATTCTTGATCAGCATCTACAGGCGAATCTTTTAAGCCATCTCCGGCCGAAAAAATTTTTCTCAGAAATTTCCCATTTTTAAAAAAAAAAGGAAAGGGGTTACATCATGAAAATTTGCGAAAATCGGCCAAAATTCACATTTAAATGGAGTATGCAGTTTTGTTAACCTGCTAAAAAATTGCATACGGCCGCTTTCCGAATTGAAATTAATGCGTTTTGGCCTAGTTATGAGATTTTTAAATTTTGATTTGTCGAAAATTTCATATAATAATATCGTTTATATCGGTACAAAAATGGTAATGGCCTTCAGTCAGAAGCTTAAAAGAAAGTGAAGGAAAATAATATAAAATCATATATATTCTTGATCAGCATCTACAGGCAAATCTTTTAAGCCATCTCCGGGCGAAAAAAATTTTTGTCCGAAATTTCCCATTTTTAAAAAAAAGGAAAGGGGTTACATCATGAAAATTTGCGAAAATCGGCCAAAAATTCACATTTTAAATGGAGTATGCAGTTTTGTTAACCTGCTAAAAAATTGCATACGGCCGCTTTCCGAATTGAAATTAATGCATTTTTGGCCTAGTTATGAGATTTTTAAATTTTGATTTGTCGAAAAATTTCAAATAAAAATATTGTTAATATCGGTACAAAAATGGTAATGGACCTTTATTCAGAAGCTTAAAAGAAAGTGAAAGAGTCATTTCCGACCCTATAAATCATATATATTCTTGATCAGCATCTACAGGCAAATCTTTT